CCCCCTGCTCATTACTGACCAATTCCTTTTTCCCAACTATAGTGTTCTTCCCTAAGTATTATGAAATACACAATCATAAACCAGGGAAGGTCTTCCTAAATCCCTGTATGGAAAATCTGACATCCCTTTTATGAGGAACTTCATCATTTTCAACAAGTCTGCAAAGAGATGTAAACCCCTGTCTCTCCAAACAATGGAGAACAATTGAACACACACAACTCTGGTAGCATCTCTTATTTATCTGCAGTACTGGGCCTTGTGTATGCTAGGCAAACACTCTATCACTGAGTTACATCCCTGGTCCTCTATCCTACTTTTAAAAGAAGTATCTTCTTTGCACATAAGCCTTTCTCAGTACTTAGATTTAGAAACCCTGACTTTCAAGAAATATTTCATTTCTTACAAGTCTTCCCACACTCTTTTAAGTTCATTGATGTTCCTCTTCTCCTTGCAAGGGATGGTTTAAATTATCATCCCCTATCAAATAATCATTGTCTAGAGTAGGTTTCCATCTACTAAGATTTGTGATGGGCTTGCCAACATGGAATAAGGATAAGTTATGACTAACGAATCCTTTTAACTAGACTGACATTCCCCCAAAATGTCATGTGATAAATGGGGCTGATGGAAGCACTCCCTTTCTGGATATTATACTTTCTCCATCTGTATTTCCTCACCCTACTCCCATAGCTTCAAATGGAAGGGAGGGTGAGGAAATTTGAACCTGAGGTTCAAAGGGAAATAAAGCAGTCCTCACAGTTCCAAAAGTGGAGTGATGGTTTCATTTTTAAGCACCTAATTATCTCAAAGAGGTTGAGTACCCAAACAGCCACATTGGGTTTAGAGAACACAGTCTCTTGTGAGATCAGTTCACCTCCGTTTAAGTTGGCTGCACCCACCCTGCATCTTGCTCCTCTCTTCCTAACTCTGACTGGCTTTCCCAGTTTCTGCAGTCTTTCTGGTAAACTGCAGTGCTTATCAACCAGTTTCATTATCCTCAGGGAGGTATTAAGTATCAGATGAAAACACTGCAGATTTGGACAAGCAATAATTTAGTTTTACAATAATTTCTGATGATGAGAGTAAGCCGATTTTCACTTGCAACAGTCAGAGATGAAGAGGAATAACTGAAATGAGCTCACTGGCTCTTACTTGATTTTCAACAGTCTGGGAACAAAATGTGATCAGAGAGCTACATGGTCCAAAGAATACAAAAAAATAGTTGCAAGCCAGTGTGGCTATTGTGCCGAGTTTAGTTGTCATTTTACAAAATCACACGGTTCAAGATTTTCTCTCCAGTTGGTGTTTTCTCCAAGATGGCGCTTGCCCACTCCAGTTATCACTAACCAAAGGATTCTCGTTAATGTAGTGGGTTGAAGGAATCAAGATATGATCAAATGGGGACCATGAATGAAGCCTTACATGACAGTATTGGAAAAGCACCAATTGGCTGCTTTGGCATCTTAGGTCTTTGAACATGTATGAGACTAATTATCTCTCTCCTGTCAGATTTAACAATGAATGCACTGTGCTAGAGTTTGGGTCTGGAATGTCCCCCAAATGCCCATGTGTTAAATGCTTGGTCCTCAGTTTGGTGCTATTGGTGGTTGGTGGAACCCTTAAGAGGTGAAACCGAGTGGGAAGAAGTTAAGTCATTAGGGATGTGCCCTTGAAAGGGATATTGGGACCCAACCCCTTCTTCCTCTCTGGTTTGTCAGCCATTATGAAGTGAATATCTTCCTCCACCATGTGCTCCTGCCATCATGTACTGCCTTTCCACAGACCCAAAAGCAATAGAGCCAAATGACCATGGACATGAAACCTCCAAAACTGTCAGCCAAAATAAGTTTTTTCTTTTCTTAAGTTGACTTTTCTCAGGTATTTTGTTATAATCATGGAAAGCTAACTAACACCACCCTAGAAGTTAGGTGTCTAGCCATTACCTGAAGAGGCCACGTCTGGATCAAACCCTTTGTAAACCAGCTGCCTCATCATTACTGCCATCCAGAAGGTCGATATTGGCCAATTTGACCACATCACATGCTAAATCATCTGTTCTATCGTTCTCTGTTGTTTTTTCTTTAAAATAATCACGTCACCCTCAGAATTTGACATCGCTCACCTCACTATCTTGGAGGAAAGATGTATTGATATATTTATTCACTCATTCATAATTTTCTTCCAGCAAATAGTTAAGGAGGCAATGAATTTGGCACTAGGTATTCATCAATGACTAAGACATAGAACTTTCATTCTGGTTGGGAAGACAGACAATAAACAAACAGATGAATAAAGCAGGTAATCAAAGATTTTGATAATGCTATAAAGGAAATGAAGATGTATGGAGGCAAACTGGGGAAGGCTGCTTTAGGTTAAATCATTCTTGACTCCATTTAAGAAAAAATTGATGGCTGGGGATGCAGCTAGTGGTAGAGCATTTGCCTATCATGTATGATGCCCCCGCCAAAAAAAAGAAGAAAGAAAAAGAAAAAAATTGAAAGACTCAAAAACGTATACAATTTGTAAGATCTGTATGAAGTCCCAGTATTTACCTGTTATTTGTTTAATCCCTCTTCCTTCCCAGAAGGGGAAGATTTCTTCAGATGTGTTGGTAGATAAAACTCTTATCCCCACTGCTACAAGGAAGACCCACCTGGATTCAATTAATCAGAGGGAACTTTCTCTGTGAAGTCTGTGGAGAAAGACCTCTTCTGAGGTTGTTATGCTCGAATTTGGGACCCCCAAAAGACCACCAGACACCAAGATCGATGTAAGCAGCAAATAGGTGTTTATTGCAAGCTAGCTTGGTCCTCCGAGTGTGCACACAGCAACAGGTGACGCTGAGAGGCCCCGAGCCCAGGGTTTGCAGCAGTTTTATACACTCTTTGGGGAAGTCAGGGACTTCACATACATCATAGAATCTCTTAGCAAATCATCACACACCGCAGGAAAATCATAAAACAACTCTAAAACATGATTAGTACATTCACTGGCGGGAACAAGTTGGGTAGGGGTGATTGGTTACTACAAGAGGGAGATTCATTTGAACTGATTGGTGTAAGCCACGAGAGATGTACGTGCTGAACTACATGGTTTCCCAACATGTTATCAACCACCATAAACTACTGGGGGGTCATCTGGCATCCCAGGTATTTTCCCTATCTCATGCTGATTGGTGGTTGCTAGGGGGTTGCTATGGGTTCTCACCTAACCTGACTGAGTCAGGACACCTGGCTCCACAGATCTCTCCTGTTATTTGTAGATAAACAACTCAGCAGGGTGGGTATGTGCCTAGGAGTGCTCTGTGGGTCTTTCCAAGGACAAGGGTCATGCCCGCTTCCTTGGACAGGCTTTGCTCTGAGGTAGAGGCTGGTTTTTCAACGTTACTATGGACTTTCATCCTTGAGAATTTTCCATCCTGAGAGCAAACCCCATCAGTACAATAAATGGAAGCATTATCTGAATCATAGCAGACTTACTAAGGTTCTGAGCTATATTCATTTTGTGTCAGGCTCCCCCCACTCAGCAGTTGGTTATGCTGGAGTCTTTTGTGGTGGTGGTGGTACAGCTGGGAATCAAACCCAGGGGCTTGCACTTGATGGGCAAGTGCTCCACCACTGACCCATGGCCCTAGCCCTAAGAGTTGTTTTAAATGTGTAAATAGGGATCATTCATAAGAAGGACATATATGTACTTTATTTCTTTTTAGATGATTTTGTTCTCTAAAAAAAGCTATGGTGGGGGTCAATTTCAAAATCCCTGGAAGCTTTTATCCATTTGGAGGAAATTTTATGTTTCAAAACCACTTTGTGACTTAAATTGCTTTAAAAATTACAGCCTCAAATATCCAATATGTTTTCAAAATGGAAAGATCAATGTGCCCATCAAATCCCTTCCATGGAAGGTATATGCTATGATTTTATCTGCCCAAACAATCCCTGTCCCCCTCCCCAAATTGTGTTCTCAGGTGAAACACAGGCCATTCAATTAAATCTGAACTTCAAAGAAATAACAGATAACTTGTAAAATGTAAAAATGTTTCAAAAATTGCATGGGGAATACTTCTACTAAAAAATCATTGTTTATTTGAAATTAAAATTATACTGGCATCCTGTGTTTTCATTTGCTAAATCTCACAACCTTGCTCAAAGAAGATTTGGATCTCTGACCTTTCCTGTCACCACTCACCACCCTCACCACTTCCATTCCCTCCCTAGTTGAAGTCCTAATGGATATGGAAAATAACAACCCCCCCCCACCCCGCCCAGGAAAAAGGTGAAACAACAATCACCAGAATAAAAGGGGAATAACAACCCCTAGGGAGAGGGGAGGACAATGTCACCTGGGGGTGGGGGTGGGGAGAAAGTAAACAATGGGCTCTGGAGTTTCATAATTTCCCATTCTACAACTATTTTCCTGAGTACCCAACCAACACATTCTACTATGATTAAGTCTCCAGTGATTAAGTCACACTAAACATTCTCTATGGTTAACTCTCACTAAACCCTATAAAAATCAGACCTTATTGTAACCAGTGCCCTTTTCTTCCCTGAAAATGTGCCATTCCACTGCTTAATAAAGAAATCCTTGCTGATCCATTGAGGTCTGCTCCCATTTCAATTATTTTTGTTTTCAAGTCCTGTCTTCCAAAAAACTTGGAATATTGATCAATACTGAGAAACAAAGTTTAAATCAGTTGTTACTGAAGAGGATTGAAAACACAATTGCCACTGCACAGGAAAATAGAAAATTGAAGCAACTTTAATGAAATTTAGATATGCGAACTAGATCCTAAATAAGCTCATTTTCCAAAACTTCTGCCATAATTAATGTCTATAAACCTTGCACAATTGAAACATAGAATACTTTGAGTACTTGTGGTAAAAGAAGGTAAAGTAAAAATAGTTTATAATTAGGGAGCCCATAGTCACATTTTGTTTGGGTATTTGCACTATTGCTTGAACTCACCTAATTTGTTCTCTTTTCTTCTCATTCTCTAGTTATCTAAACAAGAATAAATACCTGACAGTTATTGACAAAGATGCATTTGGAGGAGTATACAGTGGACCAACCCTCTTGTGAGTAAGACGCACAAAAGAATGTTGTAGTGTTTCCTTCCTTTACTGTTTTGGAATAGATGGAGACTGAGGAGGAGAAGCTGATGTTCAAGGGTAGAGAATGTTCTTATAAGGCTTCTGCTAACATTTTTCTGCCTGGCTGCGCAGGCTATTTCTTGGAAGAAAGTCCTGTTCTTTGAGATTCAGAAGGTCCCAAGCCCTGCATGCCCTTCTGATGTCTGGTCAGCCAGCCACCTTGGTGTGGCTCTTCATAGAGGTTCTGTTTGTGGAGCAGCTCCTGTTTGCAGAGTTGAGTTGTGAGATATGAGGTCTACAGATAGGTAGAGGGCACTATAGTGTCTGCAGAGAAAATATACATGGGTGGGCATTGCACGAGGCTGGCACAAAGGAGCAAATAAATGATAGTTTGATTCATATCTGAAAGAACTTCAATCATTAGGGAAAATGGGATATAAACATTTTCTAAAATAGCTGTATAATGTACCTATTGTGCATTTCTTCAGACTGGCAGCCCCCATGCAATCAGTGACCAAGTTCTGTCAATTGTGTCCCTTGAGCCTCTTTATCCTTACCATACTCTCCATTCCCTTGGTTTTGCCTTAGTTTAGAATCTTTCATTGAGCATCTAGCCTAATCCTCACCAGAGTGGAACACAGCATTCTAGAGAGGCAGAAGACAACCTGTTGGGGACATGAAGGAACATTTTACTGTGCTTTAAAAAACTAAGAACAAATAAGGTTTTATGAATGTTTTGTACAGATGATTGATGACCCTCTGGTGTCAGGTAGAGAATGGATGCTCCCCAGAGAAGAGAGCATAATCTCCAGCCCTGAGGATTTGGCCTCTTCCCTTTTTCCCCTTTTACAATCTCATTTCCTTTCAGGTTAAACGCACCCAGTTAAGTGGGTTTGTGGCTCTGTTCTCTTAATAACTGTGATTCCAAGTGGGAAGTCATAGCAAAGTGCTTCATAAACAACAACAGACTTAAATGCATTGTGTGTTTTTCTTTCTTTCTTTTTTTTTTTTTTTTGCACAGAGTATAAAACAAGTTTCTATCAGTACTTTGTAAAATCTGGAACACATCTTTATCTGCATCTTCAAGATAAAGGTGATTTCTCCAGTGAATGAGGAAAGTTGTTGCTTTCTAAAGAATCCAGTATTTTAGAGAGAGCCTTTAGAAACAGGTGTTTAGAAACATTTTCATGTTTTGTGGCTTTCCTGATGACAATGATGAATACCATAAAAAAATCTGTTTTTCTTAATCAGAAACAGAATTTTAACTGTTTTTATAATCTTCAAATTATAAATTTATATGGGCTTGTGTAATTTATGTAATTCAAATGATTGAATATGTGTAATTCAAATGTCAAAGCCTTACCCTCCATTACCTTAGAATGTGACTGTATTTGGAGACATGGTCTTTAGAAAGATAATTAAATTAAGATGAGGATGTTGGATAGAACCCTAATCCAGTCTGGCTGGTATATTTACAAGAGGAAATCAGGGAAAACAGAGACACCAGAAATGCATAGGGAAAAATCATGTCGGGATGACAACCATCCATCTGCAAGCCAAGGAGAGCGACCTCAGGAGAAATCAAACCCCACTGACACCTTGATCTCAGGCTTCCAGCCTCCAGAACTGTAAGAAAACAGATTTCCGTTGTTTAAGCAACTCAATCTGTGGTAATTTGTTATGGTGATGGGTTTACAGAGTTGCAGTGGTTTTAAAGTCCATGTGTATAAAACATGAACATGACACACACTCAGATCAGTTTGCAAATCATCAGAGGATATGGCTTTCCTTAAAAACGTATTTGCTGAATGGGAATGAAAAATGAGACTCTTAATTTAATTTACCCAAAGTTACTTTATTCTGTTATGCTTGAATTCGGGACCCCCAAAAGACCACCAGAGACCAAGATCGATGTAAGCAGCAAATAGGTGTTTATTGCAAGCTAGCTTGGTCCTCCGTGTGCACATAGCAAATGGTGATGCTGAGAGCCCCTGAGCCCAGGGTTTGCAGCAGTTTTATACACTCTTTGGGGAAGGCAGGGACCCCATATACATCATAGCATCTCTTAGCAAATCATCACACACCGCAGGAAAATAATAAAACAACTCTAAAACTTGATTAGCACATTCACTGGCAAGAACAAGTTGGATAGGGGTGATTGGTTAGTACAAGAGGGGGATTCGTTTGAACTGATTGGTTTAAGCCAAGAGGGGTGTTCGTGCTGAACTGCATGGTTTCCCAAAACGTTATCAACCACCATAAACTACTGGGAGGGTCATCTGGCATCCCAGTATTTCCCTGTCTCATGCTGATTGGTGGCTGCTAGGGGGTTGCTATGGGTCCCCACCTAGCCTGACTGAGTCAGGGACATCTGGCGCAGCAGATCTCTCCTGTTATTTGTAGATAAACAACTTAGCAGGGTGGGAATGTGCCTAGGAGTGCTCTGTGGGTCTTTCCAAGGACAAGGGTCATGCCCCCTTCCTTGGACAGGCTTTGCTCTGAGGTAGAGGCTGGTTTTTCAATTCCACTTGAATGCACCTGTCTGTGTGGTAACTTTTTCAACTAAGACAACTGTTTACACCAAAACCAAAATAAAAGGCATCAGAAGCAGACTTCAAACAGTCATATCAGAAAGTGTTTTAAAATTGTTTTCAAGACTAGTTAAGCATAGTTGATAACATTGTTTTACCATAGTGAAAAAATTAAATGTTGCTTATTTTATCTTTAGCATTGCTTTTTAAAATGTGTACTTGGTGTGTTTTATAATATGCGTAATACAGTATTGCAGTGACACATGTATAGAGCTCGTAATTATTCATATATTAGAATTGCATACTCAACTAAGTTTTAGTTACAAACATGTGAGATTGAAAGCATTTGAAGATCAGTGGTATAAACCAGAGCCACCCAAGGTATGGGTCCACCACAAGGTCAATGGCTGCCCCAGAATCTGCAACAGAGCCCAGCTTCCTCCATGGAGAAGGTCTTGCCATGAGAGTGTAGTCAGCCAAACTGGACAGTTTCTCAGGGAAGCAGTGGGCTTATAATCCAGCACAAGCTTCTTCTTCCCTTGTCAAGGACTGGTAAGAAGCTGTTGGCTGCTGGCCACCACACTTTGTAAGACAGTAGCATAGATGACAAAAGTCTCCAAATCTCCCCACTGCATTTAGTCTTGGTCCCTCTCAAATTCATCTGCCTCAAACATCTGCGGGCTCAAATGCCAGCAGGATCTTAAAACCCAACACTGGCCTCCCCTCAGAATAAGGCATTGGTGTGGCACAGGAGGCCCTGCTATGATCTTTGTCTCATGCCACTTCGTACCTCTGACCAAGGAGTCATCCATATTGAAACTCTTAGCCCTGCTAATATTCAAACCTACTATGCAGCTGTGATAAACTCTTCCTCTTCTCACGGTCTGGAAAAGCCTCCAACCTTAACTATCTAATAAGCTCCTGACACTTTGATATTCAAGTAGAGTTCTCCCCTTCTCCTCAGGAAAAAATGACCTCTTCTTCCTCTGTACACCACCACACACCCTTTGTGACTCTCATGTACCAGATAATTATCCAACTGTGCCCCTTTATGCATCTCTCCAGGGTATCCTAGAGAGCAGCATTTATGCTTTATTTTTATAGCTCTAGCTCATATTTTAATGCCTGAGACACAGTGCAAGCATAATAAATGTTTGTGAAAATAATAAAATTGATAATAAACAGTCCAATCATATTTCTATAATCACTACAGCATTTAAATAGCAGTCACATGTTAAAGGTATTTCAGCTTATAGTGCTTAGGTAAATGTGTTCATTTCTACGTTTTTGGAAGTGGTCAATTCATCTACCCATTTGTTTGTGCTTCTTAAAAGTTGTCTTTTTTATTTATGGCAATATTTCCTACAACCAAGTTAAGAGCAGACATCCAACTGCTTGAAAGTGCTTTTCTTGCTTCCTGATGGCATTCCAAGTTGAAGAAAGTGAACTTGGTAAAAAAATTATACCAGTAATTAACTCTTGGCACCATCATTTCCTGATTGTAAGAACTAAGTCTCAGTTCTCTCATGTCAAAACAGGATAACTACAAGTAACGAAGTTTAAGCAGACAATCTAAAGGGACTAAGGGTATCCTCCATGAATGTTAAGCTATATTACGAGTACATTCACTTCCTCTTGAGCTTTGACACATCATGATTCTGCTCTCTTAACCTCTCACTAGCTCAGTTCAGCATTACTCCAAATAGTATTCAGTTCTGGGTCCCAGTTCTTTCTTCTCTGTACATTCTCCTTTGGTTAAACCATCTGCTGTCAAATATCATGAGACTATAAACACTCTCTTAAGTCTCAGATCTTAAATTTTATTAATCATCTCACCTGCCTGAAATTTCTGCTTTGTTTGGTTAAATTCTCCCTAATTAACTTTTGAAAATGTACGATAAATACCTACTGAGACCTTCTAAGCTTAAGATGCTTGAGGGGGGGCAATATTTTATTCTATTCTATTATTTTATTTCGGTACTAACTCAGGGGGCATTCTATCACTGAATTACATCCCCATGCCTCTTTTATTTTTATTTTGAGACAGGGTCTCAGTTGCTGAGGCTGACCTCAAACTTACGATCCTCCTGCTTCAGCCTCCAAATTGCTTGGTTACAGGTATGAAGGGTCACTATTTTAAAGAGCGGTTAGGGAAAGCCACCTTGAGAAGGTGACAATTAGGAAAGTAGTTGAAAGAAAGGAAGGGGTAAGCCATGTGGCTAACAGAAGCAAGAACATTCTAGACCAGTGCAAAGACTTCCAGGTGAGAATATTCTGGCATATTTGAGGAAGAACTAGGAGGTCATTACAACTCAAGCAGACTGAACTAAATGGGAAAAAACAAGACAATTGGTTAAAAAAAAAAAAAAAAAGGTAATGAGGTATGAGAACAATTTGTAGCCCTAGAGGCCATTATGAGGTCTTGATTTTGTTCTTAGAGCAGGAGCCTTTTGT